TAAAAAATTACAAAAAAGAGGTTTGATTAGATTAGATAAAAAAAAACAAGGGAGATTTGAAGATGAAAAAAAAGAGAAGATTAGCTGAGGCACTTGTAGCAAATATAGCTGATCATGCTGAGAGACAAGCTGCGCTAGATCGCCTGATAAATAATCCGCTTGAACTTGAACGGAAATTAACAGAATTAACAACACAATAAATTGAAAATGTTATTAAAATATCAGGAGAAATAAAAACTATTAAAGAGAAGCAAAAAAGATTTGGCGAGTTGATGGTAAAGTTTTTGGAAATTGAAGATCAAAAACGATGGCATATAAAACAAGAAAATAACGACAGAACAACTGATGAGTATGATGAATTTTTAGAGAAAGAAAGTATAAAAGATCTTGATCATATAAATCAATTGACCGATGTAGAATTTGACACATTAATTGATAATATACTGTGATAATAAAAAACGGAACTGATAATAGAAATGAGTTAAAAACGGGTATAAAAATAGAAGATATGTTTCCACTTTATGATAGAATGAGATATGGTGTTTTTGCTTTAGTGTTTAAAAAACAGCAGAAGCCAATAGAGGACAAGGTTACGGTAAGGGTTGGGATTTTAGAAGATTTTTTTTTTTACATTCGATTAAGCTCGCGTAAAAATATATAGAGGAGAAATAAAAAAGGAACTGGAATTAGAATATTCGCATGAGTTACTGAAATGATTAATGCTATTGATATCATCAAAAACAAGCTGGGAATGTTGGTGCTGTAATTGACAATGAAATTATTGACATGATAATTTGAGATCGATAAATTTATTAACATCTGACGAATACGAAACTTTACACCGTGACGTAATCGGAGTGACTTAATTTTATAAAAATATAATAAATGTTAGCGTTATTATTACTAGACTCTAGTCATTCTGATAAAGATAGAGCAAATTTAAAGTATATTGCGTTAATAGAACTAGATCGTGAAAAACAATACGAAATTGGACTTATTTCCTGCACTTGTTGGAATGCTGTGGCAGATGTAAAGACTGGTGTAAATGACGAACTTATAATTAGTTGTAATAATTCACGTTCTCCACTATAATCAAAATCGACAAAAATTGAAATTCCAAAAGGAGCTTACAACATAATTGATCTAAATTAAACAATATTCATGGTCTCCATTATAGTGACAACAGTGTGCATCACTACTTTGTATTGATAGTTCAGACTAAACGTGTAAATACATCTTTGTTGTCCATGACGTACCAGTGTTCACAATCTCCGTAATATTGTCAGTAGTGTGCATCCTAAGTTTCTATTGACAGTTCAGACTAGAAGTATAAATACGCATTCGCTGCCAATGAACTATGAATGTCGACACTCTCAGTGATCTTGTGAATAGTGTACATAATCTGGACTGATTATTAATACACGACTAGAAGTGTAAACATGTCCTTGTTGGTCAAAATGTACCAATGTCCATGGTCTCCATGATTTTGTCAATAGTGTGCGTCCTTATTTTGTATTGATAGCTCAGACGATGTGTAAATGCGTCTTCGTTGTCTATGAGGTACCAATGTCCATGGTCTCCATGATTTTGTCAATAGCATCGATCATTAGTTTGTATTGATTGTTCAGACTGTCGTTATCTATGAGGTACCAAAGTCCATGGTCTCCATGATTTTGTCAATAGCATGGATTCTTAGTTTGTATTGATAATTCAGAATTAATGTGTGCGTCCTTAATTTTTACTGATAGTTCAGATTAGATGTGGGAATGCATCTTCCATGTTGATGAGGTACCAATGTCCATGGTCTCTGTGATATTGTCAATCATGTGCATCCTTAGATTGTATTGATAGTTCAGACTAGATGTGTATATGCTTCTTCATTGCCAATGACGTTCCAATGTCCACTGTCTTTGTGATTTTGTCAATATTCCACATCTTTAATTTGTATTGATAGTTTAAACTAGACTAGATATGTAAACATGTCCTCGTTGGTCATGATGTACCCAAGTCAAAGGTCTCCTAGATATTATCCACAGTGTGTCCTTAGCTTGTATTGATATTTCAGACTAGTTGTGTAAATATGTCTTCAATGTCCATGATGTTCCAATGTCCACAGTCACTGTGCCTTTGTCAGTAGTGCACATCCTGACTTGAATTGATAGTTCAAACTGGACTAGATGTGTAAACTGGTCTTCTCTGTTCATTAGGTACCAATGTCCACCATCACTAGAGTGCATATTTAGTTTGTATTGATAGTTCCGACTAAAAATGTGAATATGTATGTCCTCGTTGTTCATGATGTACCAATGTCCACGGTTTCCATGATTTTGTCAGTAGTGTGCATCCTTAATTTGTAATGATTGTTTAGATGTGTAAACATGTCCTTCTTGCTCATGATGTACTATGTTCACAGTCTCCGTGATTTTGTTAGCAGTGTGAGTTCCTTGTCTGCATTATTCATTTAGACTAGATGTGTAAATATATTCTCTTTGTGAATATGAATGTCCTCACTCTTCATGTTTTCTCAATAATTGTGTGTATCCTTAGTTTGTATTGATATTTTTCTGTCTGTGTAAACGTGTTTTCATTGTCCATTATGTCTGCAGTCTTTCTTGTCAACAGTTATGTGTATTCATTGTACTGATATTTGATTATATATGTATAAACATATCTTCTTTAAATATGATACACCATAATTGATAGTCTTTATTTTTTGAAAATTATTGTTTTCTTTTGCTTAAAGAATAGTACATATAATCAATGTAAAAGCGTTTGTTAAATTCTTAGATCAAAGTTAATGAAAAAGTATTCAAACGTATTACTATTATGAAACAATTAAATCAAATTCGCCGTATTACCAACAAATAAAATCAGTTTCAGATTTCACGAATCATATGATGGTTTAAGATTTAGTAGAATAGGTTCATATCATATATAAAATGTTCTTGACATTATCCATTTATGCACACTTAAAACAGAACAAGACATGTTTTGATGCTTGAGTATATTAACAATCCCAGTACTGTGCTTTTGTCTAAAAACATCTATGAGCAGTATGGGATCACCAGCCTGCCATACTGTTGTACGAAGTAACAATTAAAGACTGATGTCTTAATTAGAGAAAGGATAATCATAATGTGATTGGTCTTTTATTCTGGAAATAGTTAAAGATATTTCTGAGACAAAAAAAAAAAAAAAAGAAACAACAAAAAACAAAAAAAAAAACAAAACAAAAACGAACCACAATTATGTTTGAGTGCACCAACCTTCTTAGTCCGAACAGTTCATGTACTGCTTAAAAATGTTTCTCATCATCTTCATTCCGCAAGATAATGGGAGTCACAGCTGGCAATGACATCACATTGTCTACAGTTTCCATGTTGTGGTAAATATTCAAATGTGTGTCCTTAGTTTGCATGGATTATAAAGAATGTTTGTGTAAATGTGTGCGTCCTCGCTTTGCATTGCTAAATTTCATATTCCTTTAAATTTATAATACAGTCCTATCCTTGATACATCACTTTTTGCTATTAATTTACTGTCGCGCAGAGTCATACTAGTGTACAGTTAGCTTAAATCCATTTTTCTCCAAAACTATTGCACCCTTTCTGCAACGCGAGATACCAATAGACAGATCATGACAAGGCACGTCTGAAGGTGTCGACACCGTTGAATTCGCCCTGTCCGTTCGTCCGTGCGACGAAGAAAAGGAACTTGTTCAGGGTGATGTCGCTAAAGCGCGACAAAAAGATTATTTCGAGTTTTCTCGTAGATTCTTTGGTCTAGTGCAACATGCCATATGTCATAAGAGTTGCATCTAGCAGTGAAAAAACCATGAAAATCGGCTTGTCCGTTCGTCTGTACTGTGAAGAAAACCAATATTGTTTGTAGTTGGGTTAGGTTATTATTATTACGGGAGTAATGTATTAATACTCCAAGCAAGGGCCAAAAAAGAATTACTCAAGACACTATTTGACGTGGTTTATCTTATTGTTTTTATTTTTTTATTATTAAATGAATATTTGTCCCATGTCGGGATTCAAACCTGGGTCCTCCGTTGCGAGATATGGCAACGATCACCTGCCTGCACGTTCCAGCATAAATACTAACGCGGCTATCGAAACGTAGCCCAAAATGATGTTCGTTAACCGCTCATACGGACTTTAGAACGTACAGATATTCGAAACTTACATGTATATTTGTCATGAAAACTTGGGCACTGACTAGGTTAGATTATTATTATTATTATTATTATTATTATTATTATTATTATTATTATTATTATTATTATTATTATTATTATTATTATTATTATTATTATTATTATTATTATTATTATTATTATTATTATTATTATTATTAAGAGAGTAATGTATTAGTACTCCAAGCAAGGGCCTGCACGATGAAAAAACAACAACAACAACAACAACAACAACAAAAACAACAACAACAAAAAAAACAACAAAAAACAAAAACAAAACACCATTGTTAGGAATAGGGTTACTGTTAGGGTTACGGATGACCTTGAATAACAAGCGAACGCCTTGAGCGACAGACACGACATTCGTATTGGCCAATGGCGCTTGTGTAGGTGTATGTATTTATGTATACATGAATGTATGTATTGTTTCGGATATGGAATTTAATTACTTGTGTGTTAGTGTTTAAATTCTTAATCTTTTTTTATTTTACTTCATTGTAATCTATTGTAACGAAAAGTCTGTCCACTGGATTTAAATTTCGGAAAATTGGTAAGGTGATGTTATGTGATTATGATTTTAACGTAGCTTTACCAATTTTTCAGTTATATCGCTACGATGTCTGCAGTGTAGCAGTTGATAGTGATATCTAGCACTGGGGCATCATGCCGCAGACATGTAGCATGATGTCCCACCCAGTCACAGTATCCTGACACCAGGCCAACCAGTCCTAACACTAACCTCTTAATGTTGAGCGCCAAGCGCGGTAGCTGTTAGTACCATTTTTGTAAGTCTTTGGTATGACTCAACCGGGGATCGAACCCACGACCTCCTGCATCTGAGGCGGAGGCTCTAACCACTAGGCCACCGGAGCGGTTGACCGTTCTTACGTACGACCAAGAGAAGCAATAATTGGAGAGCAACGGAGGACTTAAATGCCATTTTCTCCCAACCTAAATTGCAGTACGACGTACCAACCAAAGACATTGGCCTGGATGAGACGAATATAGCAGTGAAAACCGTTCATTGGAAGGACAATGGCCTGGGAGCGTACACGAGGCGAATTTTTTTCCCTGGTTAAATGGCTGGAGCGAATCGCAATTGCAATATACCAGTAAATCGGGATTGCTGAGACGCGTCTGGAAAATATCATAATTACATTCGTCCTGTCCGTTCGTCCGTAATCTGAAAAAAAACGTCTTTTTTAACCCCCTCCAATGTTTAATACGAAATGTCCATTAAAAAAAAGTTTTTTCTCCCCAACGGCTGGACCTAACTTCATGTTCCATATGCCAAAAGATCGACCTGAATAAGACGCGTTTGCCGCGTTCTATTGGCTCCGTCCGTTCGTCCGTGAGCTCCAAAAAATCATTTTCAGCCGTGTTGGGTCACACCAGCGTGCATTTAGCTTAAATCCACTTTTGTCCAAAACTATTGCACCCTTTCTACTGATAGGCAGGTCTTGACAAGGCACGCCAGACAGTGTCAACCCCTTTGCATTCGCCCTGTCCGTTCGTCTGTGGGACGAAGAAAAGGAATTTGTTCAGGGCTAAGGCGCGATAAAAAGATTAATTCGAGTTTTCTCGTAGACTTTTTGGTCTAGTGCAACATTCCATATGTCAGGTGATCGGTGTTGAAAAGTCGCATCTAGCAGTAAAAAACCCATGAAAATCGGCATATCCGATCGTCCGTACGGTGAAGAAAACCAGCATTGTTAGCAGTAGGGTTAAGGCTGCGGATGACCTTGAAAATCCTGCGAACGCCTTGGGCGACAGAGACGAGCTTGGTATCGGCCAAAGGAGCTTGTGTAGGTGTGTGATATGCAATTTATGATTACTTGTGTGTTGGTGTTTAAATTCTTTTTTATTTTATTTTATTTCTTTGCCATTTATTGTAATGAAAAGTCTATCCACTGGATTTCATTTTCGGATAGTGATAGGAGTTTTATTTTTAGATTGAACTTATATTATATTATATGCTTGTCTTCTCTCTCCCATGGCTGTCGGCGTCATCGTCGCGGAGAGGTATAGCAACCAGATTTTGTAAAATAGCTATTTTGTAAGATAGCCAATTGTGCCATGTCAACTGGTAATTTTTCTAAATGTGATCCAAATACGTCCATTTCTTTTCTTTGAAACATTTTTCTTCATCGGATTTTTCCTAGAGTGTGCGTAATTTGTATACAGTATGTGGTGTTCTAAAGTCTTCTTCCGTCTGGGGGCGGGGGATCCTCTCTCATGGCTGTTAGGAGTAGGAATTCTAAAGCTGGAATATTATTCTAGATTCACAAAATCAAACTATGAAATTTTGATACATCAGTACAGTATTGCATTGATTTGACGTTATCGTCAGCCATCTTGGAACTTCGTCGGGATTCGAACTTAGATACATTTAGGACATTTAGTGATAGGACTTATATTATTTGATTCGACACAGTCGTTCCAGATTCCTATGAAAGAAATCAAGGTATATAGGATTTTTGTATTACAAATAATTATAGTATATACCAGACAGAACAGACTGTGCTATCCCTGGATTCTGTGTACATATATGAGAATAAATTACTAGGTTGTCATGCGAGTGTGTCTGCTACGCACGAGCTTATATAACACCGATTCAGTGCCATCAGTTTTGTGATGCGTGCTTAGTCGTGACGGTATATGGGTTGGTGCGTGCAGGCAAGGCGATTGGTGCCATTTACTCGCGGACATGGGTTCGAAACTCGGTAGAGTACGAATTTAATTTCTCTAACCTGTATGATAGTATAGTTTGTATTAAACTATATATATATATATATATATATATATATATATATATATATATATATATATATATATATATATATATGCACACAAACACACAGATAGATAGACAGTCCGGCACATACAGAGACAAAAACATGTACACGAGCCATTAGTTTGAAAAGTCGGACTTTGTTAAAAATAATTGAATAAATAAATAAATATGGAATTAGTCGTTTATCAGAGAAAGTTGACATGTGTCAAGGGAGGTAAATCGTACAGTAAGTTGCACCAATTTTTTTTATCAGTTTCATATAAAAACTAACAAAAACTCTTTCCACCAGTTTCATACATTGACTGTAAAAATCTCACTTGCATGTTTTTTTTTTTACTGAATGATACAAAGAGACAGAAAGACAGAACGACATACATACATACATACATACATACATACATACATACATACATACATACATACATACATACATACATACATACATACATACATACATACATACATACATGCATGCATGCATGCATGCATTCATGCATGCATGCATGCATGCATACATACATACATACATACATACATACATACATACATACATACATACATACATACATACATACAACATACGTACGTACGTACGTACGTACGTACATACATACATACATACATACATACATACATACATACATGCATGCATGCATGCATGCATGCATGCATGCATGCATACATACATACATACATACATACATACATACATACATACATACATACATACATACATACATACATACATACATACATACATACATACATACATATTGGCAAAATGAATGCTATCTCTTTTCGAACGAAGTGGGTGGCCCTGAAAAAGGATAGTTGGATGTTTGTTTTTTAAATATAAAACAAATAAACTCATTAACGAGAAGGAATCATCGTTAACTGCCTTAAGCCTCTGCCATGGCCACTGCCTACTTCTGGACATGCTATCGTCGATGATTTGTTAGAAATCACTAGAGTTGGTATCTCAAGCGCATTTAACAGTGTTAGGTTGTTTGGCTCGAAGATGTCTTTTTCTCTTGGGTCGTAATAAAGGTGGCGCTCTACAGTTTCATATTTAGCATTAGAATTTAAAAAAAAAATCCATGGGTTTCCTCACCAGTAATACTGGCTATTTAAAAGAGACTTTGTATATCTTATGTATTGTTCAAAGAACCTTTAATTCCCTTTATTTTGATGTGTGATTGATGGGTGTAAAATTGGATGGAGAGTATATAGTTTGGCATTACTCCATATGTGCATCTTTCAAAAAAGTGCTAGCTCTACTTGCTCATTTTCACTTCACGAAATTCAGAGGTAAATTGTAAAAAAAAAAAAAGCCGATAACTTTTTTTTTATACATTGCATGTATTTGGTAATACATTCATTACACTTCTATAATCTGGTATTGTCTAGTTTGCCAAAATTCATTTTCCCTATTTTAATAGCTGCCAAGAATAGTGTACTTTAGACAAATTCATGTTGATTTTTGGAGCACAAGGGAGCAGTCATTTCAGTTAGCAGTGTCCTAAGATCATTTAAAATTTCCAAAAGTACAATATCCAAAGAAATTTCATCCACATTACATGAAAGTAGTATATAGGTATGCCAACATTCTCTCCACTGTGCATGCTTAAAAACAACTTCACCTTACATACATCACTCTCTCAAAAGTACGTAATAACTGGTGAGCGCCACCAAAGAAGACATACGTTTGCTTCAGACTTCTTAGCTCTTCCGAAATGTCCAAGAGTACCGCTACCGTTTGAGTTCCAATGTTATCCTTCTCTCCTAGACCGTTTTTCTTCTCTGCTTCCTGTCGTTTCCTTCTTGCTTCTTTTTGTTCTGGCTTTTGATGTTCAAGGGGAAAAGATTTTTATTCTTTTTTCCAATTCTTCTTTTTGTTTCTGTTTAATATCCTTGAGGTTTGTTAAAGAAGGAGAAAGCGGCTCTTGTGCTATTACCGGAACAAATTCTTGTGAAGAAGAGAGAAAATCCACTAAATTTACTAAATCCCAATTAAAATTGACCTCTTCTGGAAGTAGGTCCGTGTTTATTTTGGTAGCCACTGACTCGTCTCCACGTCTCATCGTCTTCTTAGTTTCCTTCATGTTTCAAAGAAACAATGTCGCATCGATTCACTGCGTACATACGCTAACGCACCTAGCGCGGTAGCTGAATTATCTAACGTGTGCTTAGATTGGTAAAAAATTCTCAATCCGTTTCGATCCGCTGACACTCTATAAATAAACGCGGTTAACTTCATTCCCTTCGCCTGTTCTCGTCACAATATGTGGACAAACGTTGAATCCTCTACTCTCGTATCGTCGATGTTCTTCCGTACAGACTTATATCAAATCATCATGGACAATCATTTGGATAACTGAGACGAGCGTTTGGTAAAGAAACAATGTTTCTATATCTATATCTCTATTGCATTTGTCTCTACCTAGCCTAGCGCGTTTTCAGGTCATCCACTTGCAACATTGTTGCCAGTACCGTGACGTTATCCCACCAGTTCCATTCTAATATAGTGCCCCAGACAGTCACAAAATGTAAACTCCCATATACTGTCCCAGATAGTCACACAATGTTGAACTCCCATATACTTCCCTAGGGTACAACTCCCCTGTATTTCCTTATATGTTCTCATTTGCCCCATAATATCCCCATTCACTACTGGTACTTAATCCGACGACTTTTGCTCTTAAATGTTCTCTTAACCCAACTCTTATTATCTGTTTTTATTATTTTGTTTATATTATATGAAATTAAATATAATATAACAAAAATAAAGACTAATTAATTGAAAACTAACATTTTCCAATGAAAGAATATGTGCTAACAGGTACCTAAACTGGTCTTGTTTGAACTCTGTACTCATTGGCATTGCCTTTTCTCCTGAAATACAGCAAATGGTGAAATTAATTACATAAGATTGCAAACAGAGGTCTGGCATGCTAGAGTCAAAGACATCTTCCTGTAGTTGGTATTGATATAAACCCTATTGCTCTGCCCATATTCGTTATCTTCGATTTCAGCACTTCAAAAACTATCAGCAAAAGTTAAAGCAGAACTAAATCGTAG